CACACAAATTGTGTTTACATTTTGTTTCTGTGGACTCGTATTGAAAACCCATTGAACCCAATGTTAAACACAACTCAAGTGACACATCATGTCATTCACGAAAACATATGATTCAATCAATCATTCAATTCGCACAATAAGTACGTCCACTAAATGTCGGTCAAAAACTTACAGTCGACTCGAGTTTTGAGAAGTTTTTTAGAACTTTTTTATTCTGTCACTCATTACGGGCTTTGAGTCTCGAGTTTGGATTCGTATTGTGTTTTGTATTCAATGTATTGTTTAAAGAGTGTCTCCACTCGAGAGGTGTGTTCACTACAGGTGTGTATCGATTGCCTCACAAATGAACGTTTGGTTTCACATCAATGACTGATTGCATGTATTGTTTGCAACACTTTAACCATTCGTTCATACGTTTGCCAGTCGTTCACAACTAATCCCATATACAAGGGATAAATCAGTTGTCAGACATAGCGAGACCAACACCGGTTGCAGACCATCGGATCCATGGCTAACAATAGGATACTGACTGACAATAAGGGACCGACTCTGTCGACGGCCGGCGATCCCAGAGTCGACTTCTTTTATCATGTGATCGAAGACACAGAGAAGGAGAGGACAGTCAGTCTGTTGAAGAAGTCTTGGAAATGTCATCCGTTGGACACATTGAAACTGACGGCATATTTGAGAGACTGTCGTAATGGCAAAGGCATCAAAAATCACTACCAAATGTGTACTCAATTCCTATTTGAACAGCACTTCGAGACTCTGATGGCAAATATGGATCAATTGGTGGCATTTGGCTATTGGAAAGATCCGCTCGTTATACTCATGACTTTACTCTTTGACTACATTCCCGATCATTTGTCCAAAGATGACGGATTCAAATTCAATCGCGATCGGCCACCAAAAGAGGCGAAGAAGAATGTGTTATCAAAATACGATCGATTGGTTTTGAGAGGTCTTCGCAAACAAAGACAAAAAGCGAAGAAAGAGATGAAATCCAAAGCAAAAAAGGCTAAGATTGAGGGAATGGATTGTGATTCTCAGGCGATGGAAACGATGGAATCGGAAGACATTGAGATGACTCAAGATGTGTATCAAACGGTTCCGACCAGATTTGAGGCCTTACAACTCAGTCGCAAAGAATTCTTTCAAATCCGTTACAAAAGTGACCTAAAATATCGCAGACTCTATGATAAAGTGGTCGATATGTTTGCCAATCAATTGGTCACAGATTTGGAAAAGATGTCAAAAAATGTAAAATCAATCTCATTGGTGGGGAAGTGGGCGCCCAGTAGTGGCCATCACTTCGACAAATACCTGTCTATTAGTCAATCGATAGCCAAACATATGTTGGGTCTAATGAAAAGAAATGAACCGATCGGTGATCCGAAAGTTGTGACCAATTTCTTCATTAAAGAGGTCTGTACTCCACTTCGCAGATACCTTCTGATACCCGAAGTGTTTATGGCGTCCAATAAGTGGATGGATATTGACTACAATCGCGTCGCCTCTAAGTGTATGCAAAAGAATAAATCGGTTTTCATTAAACACGACAAACAGAGGTTTGAAGAGTTCTTGGCCTCAAAGACAACTATATCTGGCGCTGTCCTCAAACCGGTGGAACTGGTGGACAGAGCGGAAACATTAATGGATTCTGAAGCTGATAAGCTTGAGATTGAAGTTCTCGAAAAGCAATGGCTCTCACTTTGCGAAGACATTAAGAAAAAGGGTATGTTTTGTATGAAATGGTATTTCATAAAACATTTTTTAACATATAATCTTTGTCTTAGGCGGTGGTCTATTGGACAACGCTTTAGCTGTGTGTGATGTGAGCGGTTCAATGTATGGCACGCCAATGAGTGCGGCCGTCGGGCTAACGATTCTAACCATGTATTTATCACAAGAACCCTGGAATCAACTTTGTATTACATTTCACGAGAATCCGACATTTCATATATTGGATCCGACGCTCAGTTTGATTGAGAAAATCCGGTCCATAAAGCAAATAGATTGGAGTGAAACCACTTATTTGAATCGTGTCTTTGACCTGATTCTGAAGAAAGCTGTCGAACAGCGTCTCCGAAACGATCAGTTGCCGAAAGTGTTGCTCGTCTTCTCGGACATGGCGTTTGGCGTCGCCTTTCCCGACACCACTCTAACCAACTTCGAGGCCGCGAGAGTACAGTTTGAGGCCAAAGGCTATACTCTGCCTCCCATTGTGTTCTGGAATCTGAGGGCTACGGCTAACACACCCGTCGACGTCAATGATATGGGAGTCGCGCTTCTCTCCGGATATTCCGGACACCTATTATCACTCATTTTGAAGACCGAAGACTTCAAGACAATGACTCCCTATTCGATGATGCGGTCGGCTATTGATAACAAACGCTATTCTGAGCTTAAAATAATCGATTGATCGCTGCTTTGAATGCATTGGTTTCCACAAAGAATTCTATATAATATTTATTAAATATTGAAATAATTATATTTTATGTTGTATTTGACGCACAATTAAGTTTCAGATGATTTATGTATTTATAATTTATTTTGATTTAGGAATAATTCTTTTTGGTTTATTATCAATTAAATTAATTAAATTATATCTACTATGTACATATTAAATTACTTTACCAATAAATTCGTTATGAATTATATATAAAAATAATCTAAGAAATTGTTAAATTTATAATTTTGTTAATTATATTGATATTACATAAAAATGAATAATGTTAACTGTTAACAGTAATGTATAGCAGTAGTGTGTGTTTGCATTAAGTTTAAGCAAGTTTTGATACAAATCTAAGAAATTACAGAATATTGGGAGAGGAGTGTTACATAACTTATTACATACATTACATTATGTTATACTGTATAACTCTCTAAGCGAATCGATTGCCTAACGAATAAGCGTTTAGTTTGCAATCAATGAGTGATTGCAAGAATTGTTTGCAACACTTTAACCATTCATTTATACGTTTGCCACTCGTTTGTCGCAAACACTTCTCTATTAAAACTTTGTAAGAATCAAGACATTGTTCAGAACCATCGGATCCATGGCTCACAACAGGACGCTGACTGAGAACAAAGCACCCACTTATGGGACGGCTGGCGATCCGAGAGTTGACTTCTTCTTCCATGTGATCGAAGACACAGAGAAGGAGAGGACAGTCAGTCTGTTAAAGAAGTCTTGGAAATGTCATCCGTTGGACACATTGAAACTGACGGCATATTTGAGAGACTGTCGTAATGGCAAAGGCATCAAAAATCACTACCAAATGTGTACTCAATATTTCTTTGAACATCACTTCGAGACTCTGATGGCAAATATGGATCAATTGGTGGCATTTGGCTATTGGAAGGATCCGCTCGTTATACTCATGACTTTGCTTTTCAATGAAATTCCCGACTATTTGGCCAAAGATGACGGACACAAACGTCGACACAATTCTCAACCCCAGAAGAAGAATGTGTTCCCAAAATACGATCGATTAGTTTTGGGAGGTCTTCGCAAACAAAGACAAAAAGCAAAGAAAGAGATAAAATCTAATACAAAGAAGGCTACGATTGAGGCGACAAAGAGTGACAATCAAGTGATAGAAGCGATGGAATCGGAGGACATTGTGGTTCCCGGCATCGAAGTCCATCTGATTGGAAGTGTGTACCAAACTGTTCTGAACAAAGTTGAAGCCTTACAAATCAATCGCAAAGAATTTGCTCAAAACCATTACATAAATGATGAAAAATATCGCAAACTCTATGACAAAGTCGTTGATATGTTCGCCAATCAATTGGTCACAGATTTGGAAAAGATGTCAAAAGATGTGAAATCGTTATCATTGGTGGGGAAGTGGGCGCCCAGTAGTGGCCATCACTTCGACAAATATTTGTTTATTTGTCAACCGATAGCCAAACAGATGTTGCTTCTAATGAAAAGGAATGAACTGATCGGTGATCCGAAACTTCTAAAGGATTTCTACATTAAAGAGGTCTGTACTCCACTTCGCAGATATCTTCTGATACCCGAAGTTTTTATGGCGTCCAATAAGTGGATGGATATCGACTACAATCGCGTCGCCTCTAAGTGTATGCAAAAGAATAAATCGGTTTTCATTAAACACGACAAACAGAGGTTTGAAGAGTTCTTGGCCTCAAAGACTACCATATCTGGTGCTGTCCTAAAACCCGTGGAAATGGTAGAAAGAGGCGAGAAGTATATATTTCAGACCATCGCTGAAAGTGAAGATCAAGATTTCAAGCTTGAAATGGAAGTTCTTGAGAAACAATGGCTTTCACTTTGCGAAGACATTAAGAAAAAGGGTTTGTTTTATATTAATTGTTTTCCTTAAAACATTTATTTAACATTCAGCCTATTTCTATGTCTTAGGCGGCGGTCTATTGGACAACGCTATAGCGGTGTGTGATGTGAGCGGTTCTATGAATGGGACGCCTATGAACGCAGCCATTGGTCTCACGATTCTAACCATGTATTTATCACAAAAGCCCTGGAATTCAATGTGTATTACATTTGACGAGAATCCGACATTTCATATCGTGGACTCGAAACTCACTTTCATTGAGAAACTGCGGGTAATGTCGACGAATAGCATGGCGTGGGGCGGAACTACTAATTTGAATCGAGTCTTTGACTTGATTTTGCGCAAAGCTGTTGAACAGCGTCTCCGAAACAATCAGTTGCCAAAAGTACTCATTGTTTTTACAGACATGGAGTTTAGCAGTGCTTTTCCGGGAACTACTCTAACCAACTTCGAGGCCGCGAAGAAACAGTTTGAGGCCAAAGGGTATACTTTGCCTCCCATTGTATTTTGGAATCTCAGGGCTTCGGCGTCGACACCCGTTGACAGCAATGAAATGGGAGTCGCACTCCTCTCCGGATATTCCGGACAACTATTGTCACTCATTTTGAAAACCGAAGACTTGGAGAAAATAACCCCCTATTCGATGATGAGGTCAGCTATTGATGACAAACGTTATTCTGGGCTTAAAATAATCGACTAATCAATTATTTGTTTTTTCTTCTTCTGCATAAAAAATTCAATATTAATACAGTCGAGCATGGATATAATATACACATGAAATTTTCGAAAAGTGGGGATTATAATGATATGTTGATTATAACGATACTATTTTAACATTATGTGAATGGGAACTGACTTTCAAAATATGGGGATTATAATGATTTGGGGATACTATTGAGTGTATATTATATCCATTCTCGACTGTACTGAAATAAATATAGTTATGTTTCGAAGAATTTATATGTTTATAATTTATTTATCCGTTATATTTGATTTAATAATAATTAATTATTCTTGGTTTTTATCAAATATCTACACTGTATATATTGTAGTAACATTACTTTTACATTTTTCTGATATTATAACATATTGGTTTTTAAAATACGTTATGAATAATTATATAAACTTTATATATAATAGTAATATATAGTAATATATTAATAATAATACCATAAAAATGAATTCAAATAATTGTTAATTGATTTGTTAATAAAATTGATATTAAATTGTAAATAAAATTGTAGAGAATATAATAAATAATGAGAATGATTTAAGTTGCAATTACATTAAAATACCGTTATATGAATAGATAAAATGATCAAAGTACTTTACATCAATGGCATTATACTCAAATCATATGAGTCAAATGTTTGCCTTTATTTCCAAGAGTTTGTTTGAATTTGGGTCTAGTTTTCACTTACTTTTCAATCTTTTGTAAATGTTTTTATAATAATTATAAAAACTCAAGAATTATATTTAAGAATTTGTTATCGATTTGTTTAATCATAGGTTTTAACCACTAGTCTATACTTGCAATGTAGTCAATGTGTATTAGTCAGTGATTTTATTCACTCTATGAAACTTCCGAAGTTTTTCATCAAAATGTTTGGCCATTAATAGTGATCACAATTTTTAAAAAGTTTTTAAATATCATTATAATTGGGTTCAAAGGAATCTAAATGTTTATAACAGTAATATATTGTGAGTTTGTATGACATTTACTGTGTGTTTGCATAAAGTTTAAGAAAGTTTCGACTTTTGAGATTCAAATCTAATAAAATTTAAAAGAGTTTAAAGAAATCTTTAAAGAGTTGAGTCGAGAGAAGTGTTAACTCTATGTGTAAATCAATTTCCAAAAGAATAAGCGTTTAGTTAGCAATCAATGAATGTATTGTTAGCAACACTTAAAACATTCATTCATTCGTTTGCCACGCGTTTGTCGCAAACACTACTCCTTTAAATACTATTGATATTAAGTGATCGCATCTATCGGATCCATGGCTCACAACAAGACACTAACTGAGAACAAAGCGCTCACGTATGGGACGTCCGACGATCCCAGAGTCGACTTCTTCTTCCATGTGATCGAAGACACAGCGAAGGAGATAACAATCAGTCTATTGGAGGAGTCGTGGGTTTGCAACCCGTTGGACACATTGAAACTGACGGCTCAATTGAGAGACCCTCGTAATGGCAAAGGCATCAAAAATCACTACCAAATGTGTACTCAATATTTCTTTGAACATCACTTCGAGACTCTGATGGCAAATATGGATCAATTGGTGGCATTTGGCTATTGGAAGGATCCGCTC